ACTCGAAAGTATACGAGCAGGGGACTCTCAGATATTCGGGCCTTCAGCGCTTTCATCACTTACCAATGCCGGCTCAGAATCGACCGCTGGTTGCATCAGCCTTCCAGCCGTGGGTGACTCTTAATCGCAATCGGTTTTAAATAATGTGTAAGTGCTTTTAAGATTCAAGAAAAAATCCCCTCACCTTGAGGATTCGGCTGGGTCAGGAAAAGGAATTTTCCTTCTCTCAATTCTCTGCGATGAAGCCAGCGATTTCGGGAGGCGGAATGAGAACGAGATAGAAACCGAAGGAAGAAACCAGAAGCGTGCTAGTCATTATAAACGCAGTTGAAGCATTGGGCGCATACAATAATAAAGTGCTTTCTCCCTGAAAACCTACTGATTGATCGAGGCGTGAAATATCATTTGGTCTTAGCTGAGAGCTAAAGGGTGAATACTAATATACATACATAGGAAGTCACGCTCTATCCCAGCTCATTTACCGCCCCGATTTAAATATTCAAAGCCGGCGATTAGTGGCGACTTCGACGCCGTGCTGTGCGTGTTCGATGGGTGGACGACCAGGCAGAGAGTCCATAAGCTGAAACCGTTGATTAAGATACTCGATTCAAAATACAATGAAAACCAAAACACCGAGCGGCATTTCATTGTTGACCATGTTTACCGCTGCTACGCAACCCTTTGTTTTCAAGCGCAAACAACCCATCGTCCAATTTACTGATCCCGGGATTGATTCAGGGGTAATCGTCCGATGGTGCGTCACAGATCGATATCCGAAAGAACGCCGGACTCATCAAAGACCACGCTGACTAAGATTACGAATCATCGTTGCATCATCGAAAATGTGGTCCCGATTCCGACAACGGACGAGGAACGGACGATCGAGGGCTGAAGGAAGCGCGGTTCTCTAGAACTTGAGGAACTGCGGCGACGAAGACGTTACCAGCGAGCACGGAGTTGCGTTCCGCGCGTCGCTTGGCTTGCTCGATGTTTTTCTTTTGGTCGTAAAGTTCTTTTTTCCCGTTACTTCTCTGTTCGGCGTTTTTCTACTTCAGAAGCTTCTCCGGGTCGTTTGTTCCTCGCGACCAAAAAGCTTCACGGCGTCTTCCCGTTCGACGGAGGCGACACTCGTTTGATGGCTCGATACCGATTCTCTCGTGAACATTGCGGAACATCGCGATACCCGAAGCCGGGAACGGTGAAAGTTGTTGAGAATCCGTTTTTGATCTAGTCGGTCAGATGTGGACACGATGAACGCGCAGACTGATCGATGGATTGATACATCGACAGACCCGCCTCCTGCGTAAGCGTTCGGTACTAAAAAACTGAGCGGTAGACAATATGCAGATTGCTGCTGGATCGATGGTTTTTCTTATTTGACGTAAAACGATTATCCGCTCGGTATCCGCTCACGTTCATGCGCTTCATCCGCTTCTCATTCAGCACGTCAAATTCGTTGCTTATATTTTGGCGGAGAATCGCAAAAAGCCGCGAAAAGAATATGCGCGCCGTCTTTGTGTGGATTATATTTGGTAAACTACGGTGAGTTTCCGGTGGAATGAATTAATCGGAAAACGACGGGACGATTTGAAAGAAATGCTTCTGCTTCTCCGTTTGTCGACCGCACGTTCGTCCATCGCAGTCGCAGGCTACTAGTATCGATCAGCAATCTTTGCTCGCAAGTGCAATCACAGAACGATCCACATTGTTCATTCAGAATCATGACTTGAAGGAAAGAGAACTCACTGTCGTCTACAAAGCGCACGATCGAACGGACCAGGGGCGATAGATCATAGCTGGGTTGGAAAACATCCGAGGCTGACTCTGAATGATTGTCTCTCTTCGTGACTCGTGACTAGAAAAAAAGATATAGAAATATTTTGATTTTGCCGTACACAAGATCACCTTCGCTGTATATTTCATGCTGTTCGACTCGGGAAGGCTGAGCAGGAGGATACACAGGTCCGATCCTCCGGAATCGGTTTCAAACAGTAAAGCGAAATCGAAGGCTCTCGATATGATCATCGTCGATCAAGTTATCGATACAGGAACATATGACGTGTTCGCCTATGAACTTTATCAGTAACCCCGCGTCGGAGCTAGAAACGTGATTTCTGTGATACGATTGGTCGGCCGGTAGTTCCACTGGCTCGGCATCCTTCCGCTACGCGGAGATAAGGATTCGAAAGTCTCGATCGGGACTCACGTACATCTTCGCCTTCAGTTCTCCGGATACACCGTTAACATGAATCGATATGAGTCTGTCGTGAATGAGGCGGCAGAAGATAACCTTGCACGAGACTTCAATGGATCGTTCCGACGGCAGCCGGGAGTTCGAACGCTCGGTGGAAATTCTGCAGCGCAGCGTTGGCATGGAGGGGTCCCGGTTTCATTTTTCCTCCGTTTTCACTGAAGGGCCCGCGAAAGCGGAGGTTCTGTCGGATCGTGCGCTGAGAGTGAAATCTCATTCGTTAGCCTCTGTGCTCCGATGGATATCGGGTAATCTAGAACTCCACATCCAGGGCAGAGCGGGAGCGGGGCACAGACAGCGTCATGCACGTGCCTCCTTGGAGCAGACGGTGCAGGAATTCTGTCGGTACCCGCGCACGATATTTATCCAAAGAAACTCACGCCGGAAGACTTCTCTATGTCAGTCGTTCACCACCTGTTCTTCTCCAACGCTACGCTCGGACCTCCCAGCCAATTCCGTAGATTCCGAAGATCCGTTTTTTTCTTCTGGATGGATTTGAAGCCTTCATTTGAAAAGTTAAACCTGATTCAGTCGCTCGCCGAGCGGAATGGACTCTGAGAAACAAGCTGGATGATGATCTTAGACTGAGAAATGCTCCCAGAACAAGCCCAGGTGTAATTGCAGGACTCTTCGGTTGTGTCTGGCGAAACCAGAAGTTTAGAACGAGAAGAATGCCGAGAGAGGGTATCGTGAAACTTGCGTGAGATAAGCTAGCGTCAGAAAAACTGTGTTTACATGACTGACAGGATTCGGCTTTTTTTCTGAGAGCAAACGACCGAACAATGCTTTCCATTCTTCTCATGGTCTCGTTATCGGTTGCGGCCGCTGGAGCTATCATTATTGACGATCAGCGACTCCATGAACGTCGAAATCAGTGACCCGTGCTCTAGATTATCGATGGGATTGATGGAGATGATATTTGATTGGAGAGGTGAGAGCTGATTGATTCTCGATATCTGATTCATCCCTCATCGATATTAACTCAGATGGGATAGCGTTACGGATCAAAGCTCCTTGCGCCCACTTTCTCCGTCGCTGACTGAGACACCGTCGAAGTTCCTGCTCAGCGGCCCTCTGGCTGCGTTCGCCCCCATTGTGGAGACGTTTAGCACAAACAGTGAGTCTGACTCAGAGCGGACATCGATACACGAGAAGGCCGAGGTCCCCGGCAAGAGACTGGACCGAACAGGACAATCTCTGAGGAACCAACGATTCAAGGCCAATAGATTGAACCAAAGTGATTCATTCTCTCGACGTCTCTCGGCGCGTGTTCGAGCTGGCCGCTGGAATTCGGATGACCATTGGGGAAGCGCCTATAAAGAAAATGCTTGGCATGACGAGCAATCCATGATCTCCTCCTCATGAAGTTCGGACCCAAACATAACTCCTCCTTCGCATGTCGCCACCCGTCTCGAGGCTGATCGAATTCTCGTCTCGGGGCTGATCAAATTCCGTCTGAGCTCAAATCGCAGGTCACAGAGTATTGTCGTTGCCGTCACGCGAACGTAAGCCGACAGTCCCGCATCGCTCCTCTCTCTCAATTTAGGAGAAACGTTGGATAGTAGTGGAGCCATTATCGACTTGGTCGTTCGGAAAGGCAAATGGCGGCATCGATAACAATCGCGCACAAGAGTCGTGAGAATGAATTCCGATTTGTTGTCGTCGGAGGAAAGAGCCATCCGGCCATCGGGCCGTCCGAAGGAACAAACTGCACTCGCCCGGCTCCACGCGCTTCGATGCTGACTTCGGGGTTTGAACAGTTTGCTGGGGTCGCACAGTTCATCGGAGCAAAGGTGATACAAGACGGAGAAGCTCCGTTCGAAGCCAGTCAAGAAGATCAACCCAGAAAATAGCCTCAGCGCTCCTTTTCCCTCTCTCCGCACGTTGCGCGCCTTATTTTCCCTGCATTTTCTTTTTGGTTGCAAGCTGTCTGCGAGTGTCCTTTGCCCCCGGAATCGGCCGACCCTGCGCGCGAATGCGGGGCGTCTGTGACTGACGCGAAGAGCTAACGGGAATCGAAGGAATTCATCACCGGCGTTCGCGAAACGGCATCGAATCGCCAGTGAGCTCAGATTCCATCGGCGGGCTTCTTTCAGTATTTTTTCCGGAACATTCGGGTTCGTGATGGCACGCGCAATGCAAGAAGAATTGGATTTATTTGCACCACCTCTCCATAGATAGAACTTCCATCCTTAGTCAGCGCGATTCACCAGCCGACGGATTTGAATAGGAATCACGTGCAGAAATTCGATCGGTGCGGCGTGGGAGACTACAAAGTCTTTCCTCGGAATCTCCTCCCCGGAAAGAAGTGAAAGAAAATACCTGAAAGGGAGGAAATCTCCCCGGAAAGATTCGTACAAGACTCTTGAGAGTAGGAGAAACTACGCTTCACAATCGTATTGTGTTGCACAGTAGCTCATGGCTGCCTAGCCGCCTCATTCTCGGGCACATGTATGTAGTCAGTAAATCGTGACGAGGATGAGATTCGTCTCTGAAGACCTGATCATTCACTCCCTCAGCAGAGCGTTTGAGGCTGGTAAAATATTTTCCCAGGCGAAAGAAAATTCTGGGCGATTCGACGCGCTGGACTTTATCCTCACCGAGGACGCCCTCGGATCGCCTTCCGCTGTAGCTCAAGCATACCAACTCTCTCACGGAACCTCTTGCTTCCTCACCGAGAGAGTTCCGAGTTCAGGTTGATTAGTGACTCAGTTGCTTACGCGCCGCTCACCTTCGTCGTGAAGTCAAGATGTGGCTCTATTTTCTAGCTCCGATGTTTGTGCCCCTCGGCATCCCATTCTGGAACTTTTTGTTCCGCTGGGGACGGCTCGGTGTGGAATATGTGAGATTTTTCCTGCACTTAAAAGGATTGTTGTACTCGAATTCTATAGCCATACACGAAGGTTTACACTCCATGGTCGCAAAACACGGTAGACTTTATGGAACATTCAGACGTACGATCCACGAACCAGCTGTGTCCAATGTAGAACTCGGGAAAGAAGTTCTGAATCGGCAACTTTTGAAGGTTTTCGAAAGAGTTTTCGAATTCCAATCAAATAATCCACTGTGGAAAAACGCAGTGAACAATCTGCCGTTTGAGCGATGGAAACCAGTGCGGAGCGTCATGACGCTATTCTTCACGTCCGCAAAGATGCAGAGCATTATTCCGAAACTGGCGAAGCTGTCCGAAAGATTTGTGGGGAAATTAGAGGTTGTAGTACAGACATCCAAGAATGAGGTCGCACTGAACAAATGTTACCGGGGCATCGCTATGGGTTCAATGATCGCTGTATCTTTTGGAATCGAGATGGATTGCCTCGACGATGCAGAAAACCCCTTCGTCAAAAACGGGAGCGGACTATTCAAGCTCGGAGCTACATCCTCGTTCATCCTGGCCACTGGACCAGGCTGGTCCTGCAACTTGAAGACCCGAACGGGCTGATGACGGACGAAATTCTTCTCTTGCAAGCTTTCAGATTCGTGGCCGCGGGTCCAGAGGGAGTCGTCTCGCTGCTCGACATGCTCACCTACTTATATGCGATGGATCCGGAAGCACAAGAAAAAGCACTAGGCGAGCTCAGAAGTCTCGTGGGGGAGCGCACGCTCATAACATATGAAGATCTACAGAAATCGAAATATTTGGAAGCCAGTAAGCTGAAAACGGGACGCCTCTTCCCGCTCTCGCTCATCGTGGAACGCACCTGCACCCAGTATACTGAAATCGCTGGAATATCCATACGACCCGCGGACAGCGTCGAAATTCCCGTTGTGAGCCTCCATAGAGATCCTAAATACTTACCGGAGCCGGATGATTTTCTGAACGAACGCTTCATCGAGGACGAGGACGTCACTCCCGAAGTAGCGGCTCTCCTCAGCTCCGGCGATGGTTCAAAAAGCTGTCTGAGCTAACGTCTTGCCTTGATGATCACCCAAATGGTGATGGTGCGCATGTTACCGAGTATTCGTCTCGCAAAATGCGGAGCCACACCCGTCAAGCTGAGACTGAAACCCGGTGTTCAATTTGCCGACATCTGTGAAGACCCATTGGTTCGCAGACTCGATCCCAGGAGAAGCTGAGAAACTGACTTTCACTGATCGGCGACCGCGGAATCGTGCTCTCACGGATGAAATGCTCGGATGTGAACAGGGCTCTGTGGAATGTCGTGGATCCCGCTAGTCAACCGGATGGCCCGTATATTGGGGGGGACGGGTAATTCGGGACTGCTCTCAGATTCTCTAAGATCTTTGGCTGAAAGCCTCGCTTGAAAGAGAATTTTAAAAAGGTAATCCTTTTCCTCGTACTCAGACTCCTCCGATTCCAATACTGAGAACGATGAGATTTCTAAGTATAAGAGACTGGATCATGCCCTCGAGGAGTATCTCATACAGAGCTCCGACTCCAACCGGGGATCGCCCTAAGGTCCATTGTGAGTGGATACGAGAGAAATTCCAGGCGAGCAAGCTGGAACGGAGCTTTCCGAGAGAGAGAAAGACATTGACCGATGGAATCGCCGACACATCTGGAACCGGAAGCTCGATGAAGAAAAACTCGGATCAATACTGGATTTCCGGAGGCAAGGCTTTATTCCATTTTCTCGAGGAAGGGGCTGAGAGATGTTGATGTCGCGATCTAGATAAGTCTGAATAAAACACGGAATGCTTCCGTGAAAGCTTCGGGTCGTTTCTGGCAGAGAATGCTGCCTCTCGCTCCATCTAACATTTCAGATGGCAACAAAGTGTCAAAACTTGGAAGGGAATCCAGAGACGTCTTCCGTGACCTGAAGTGGTTCTATGTGGCCCGGCAGTCGGATCATACATATATCGGTCGTTCCATCAGTATTACGTATGAATGGAGGCGAACACTTTGAATTTGAACGTGCCCCGCAAAAGATCACGAGAATTTTCGTCACGCGTATCTTTCCGTTCCAATCTCCCGACGCCCCGAGGAAGTCTGATTCAATGTCCTTCCCAGAGCCTGGTGGGGAGCCCGCTAGACGTCGACAGTAAATTTCCCTCCGCACACGGGCTGATACTGTTGATATTTAGCTCTGCTGTGGAATCCATCCCCCCGAAATGGAAGAGCCCATCGTCGATCGGGAGTCATGGGTCGATATCTCCTCTAAGGCAGTGCGCAGAGATAGGCGCATCATAGGTAAATCATCGGATAACTTTCCGAGACCGGAAATAAGTGTAGGAAAGTGCCCTTCGGGAGGCAGGGTCGTCTGACTGATGTCCAAGCGGATCGACCGGTATCATGGTACCTATCTCAGCAGGGACCAGAGTCGCGAGAGTCAGAAAACGCAGAAGCCAGAGTCGGAGCAAGATCGGCGCCAAGATTGAAATATCCTATGGACCACTCATGACTCGTTGGTCGCGGTATCCCAGGGAGCGTTGACAATCGATGATTCTAAGCCTTCTGGATCGGGAGACGAATTCCTGAGAACAATGTGTGTATAACAGATTACAAGTGTAGCCTGCCAGGGAACATCAAATCATCCGACTTTTCCTTTCTAGAAGAACAAGGTTCCTTCTTCTTTGATCGTTACCATACCTGGACAACAAAAATCATAACTGACCAAGCAGACATATACACCTCGACACCGAGAATTCCTCAGTCTAGAGAATCAATCATGGATCGACCATCGCGGATTGCCGTAATCAAACTTTTAGGAGTTTTCGTTTCATCAAAAATTATGTTCAGGAGTGTTCAGCTCCGGGAAGCGCTCTTTGAGCTGATGCACCGGAATGGTTGCGATGGTACCAGCGCGTTGTGAATCCTTGCATCTCCGGCACTCTTTCGCGTCCATCCCGCTCTCCAGCGTGACTTCCCTCCCTACATCGAGCTTCGCGGATGCCCGAGGGAGGCTAGCCTCTACCGGAGGGGTTTGCGGCCGTTAGGCCAGAAGGGCTCGCGGCTGTCAAGCCCGTACCGGCAAGATTGAAGTCTAAACCGTTGGTGGACCACGAGTTAGCATTACTCCATGCGTTGGCATTACTCCATGCGTTGGCGTTACTCCACGAGTTAGAATTACCCCAGGCGTTGCCATCGGCCTTACGATCGGCGTTCACGGAGAAATCGGCCCCAATTTCGGCATTCGAATTAGCATCGCCATTCGATTTGGAGTTCGTGTTAGCCCAAGCATTCGACAGACTGCTCGCACCGCCGGCGCCGGCGGAGCCTGTTGCTGGGTCGGAGGATTGCGACTCGACCTTCTCGGGAGATCCTGTGCTGCTAGCATGATGTTCAGCGTGTTGTTTGGCGGACGAAATCGATGCTCTCGAATGATGTTTTTTCCACCAAGCTGGAATATCGGAGATCGAGAGAAGCTTGTGAGATCCGGATTGTTCCTTGGGAACCGGGGTTTCAGCAGATCCTTTCTGCGGCAGAGTTGACACGACAGGCTCCGGTGTAGTCGGTTGGTTTCCCGCACGTCTATCTCCGGCATCCGGAAACCCAGATGATCGCCTCTGTAGCTCTTCGAGAGACATCTTGTCAGATGGAGCTGCGTAGTTTGTTTGCCATTCTTCGAAGTAGTCCTCATCGAGCATGGGGGGCTGGCCGAAAGTGAAGTAACTCGTGATCCCTTCTCGCTGTCGAGGACCGAAGCCGAAACGTCGGCGGCCGAAGATAAGAGACATTATCCAATTCATTTGAGGCAGAGGCGAGTTCATCAAAAATCGATGAGCTTGCAACGATTGCGGGCCAGCACCCGATATCAATCCACGGATTATTTCGCTCAGAATCCGCATCAGATTTCCGTTTCGGAGCAAGGTCTTGAGCATTTCCTGGAGAATCAAATTCGAAGCATCTGAGCCGATACCTTTTGATAGCGGAGAGGTATAGGGCGTCACTGGAGGCATTGAGGCAAGATCGTCCTGCGACGGCGGAGGGGGGCAAGTAGAAACGTCACCGATGTTGCCAACGGTCATCGCACACAACATGAAGACTGCCAGCTTCATCTTGGCGACCAGCACCGGGAGAATGGTGATATCCGGCGGGTGACACGGAATTTTATAGACCATGAGCTCGTGATTAACAAGCCGTAAATTAATGGCCAGTCAACGTCTGCTCGGAGCCTTTCGAACATTTCGATTTTTTTCGCCTTAGAAGGTTCTGCAGGTGTCATCCCTGAGTTTCGTGAGCGAGGCCAGGGTGAACACGCTCGTTCCTATAGCCTATACGCACATGGGTTTCGGCATGACTTTGATAGTGAGCGTTCGAGTGGCCTTCCGAAAGCTTCTCCAAAGGACTACTAATTGAGATCGAGGTCCGTCTGCCGCGCATCTCCATTCTGTTGTGTCATGCAACTACACTGTGCCATCCCCGCCGGAGATCGCATCTGCGCTCTTCCTTCAAATCGAGCAGTCTTCCTGATTCAGGAGCACCACCTAAGAGATGGGAACCTATTGGGAGACAGAATTCTACCCTTGAACTTTTTTCTGTGAAACAAAATACTCTCTATCGAATCGGCATCTTCTCGGCAAGCGAAGAATCGACGAGTAGCAGAGTTGAGAAATAGAAACTCGACTATATCCGTAACGAGAGTGGCGATGATCGGATCTCTCTAGATTGAGAAGGAGTTTGTTCCCAGTTTTCTCCTGGGACCAGGGGATCCCGAACGGGGTCCCGGCCGCCGTCCTCGGGTCCCCCGAAGGCCGGTGAAAGCAATTCATAATATGATCCTCCGGGACGATATACTCGACATGGCTTGTGATAATATCGAAGAGCCGTGACGCGTCAGACTCCTTTTTTTTTATTGCGAGGGCTTGTTCAATGAATAGGTGGAAAATATTCTCTGTCAGGCGAAGCCACCGACTGGTGGAACGACATCGCGAGGGGTCGTGAGCGCAGCCGAGGGCTTCAGAGGATGTCCCGCGCCGAAAAGAAATCGGTAACCGCTGCTTTAGAACGATACCAGGCGCTCGATCCGGTGCGCTGTAGCTTTGAGCGTGAGAGCCAAGGCGAGGGACCTCGGGAGGCAGGCTCGACTTCGACCGGCGTCGATCACCTCACGACTAGGCTTTGCAACCGCGGGTAATAACCGCAATTGCGGTTTTTCTTTAACATGGTACTCTATGAGGGAGAGCGAATAACCGCAGTCAATAACCGCGGTTTTTCATGAGATTTGCGGTTTTTTGCAAAGCCTACTCACGACGGGAGGGAACGGGAGACGCTCCGTCTCTATACAGGTAGCACCTCTGCGAGGCGGACCCCGTTCCCCGGCGCTTCCTCTTCTTCAAGATCGCAGAAGGGCTGTTTCAGCACAGTTTCCGGACGCTCCCGATCGAGAGCACGAGCTCGCAAAGAGAGGATATATTCTATCTTCCCATGTGAGGGTTCCTCTCGATGGGGTGGCTAATTACTCATTACTCATCAACAGATCGAGTTCGCGCCGACTGCCCTTGCCGTTCCCTGGCTCTCGAGGAAGGAAGTTGAAGTCCCCGAGTTATTGCGAGTGATCCTGCGTCAGATTCGACGGTTAATTCTCACGGACGGAACGCTTCCAAGATCTTGAGCCGACCTTGGGGCAAGCGACCGCCTTGGCAGGAAATGGGGAAATGGTCTCTCCTTCCCGGACTTACGACGGTCCGACGGAATATTGATACATTCAATGGGCATCTCCTTCTTCTGTTTCGATTGTTCGCGGGCGACCTGAGCGTCTTCTATGTGGAAGGAATACACGCGCAACCCACGTACGTCGAGCATCGCAGTTCACGTGAGACAGTACCCGCGGTAAGACTCCTGGCGCTGAGGGTGAATATCGACTTTCCCGAGATTCCCGCTTCGTATCTCGACTTCATCGCGTTTACCGCGGTTCTGCAGGCCCGGGTGAGCCGATAAGATGACTCACTCACTCTTTTACTACGTATCTAAACTATTCGACACACCCACAGCCCGAGTGGTGCGA